ATATAAAGTTTTGATTCTTCTTGAGTTCGTTGGTGCGTCTTGGAGAGAGAGAGAGGAGAGAGAGAAAGGTTGGTACGTTCATAGTACTTCTCTCTCCTCCCTCTTCTCCTCTTCTTCTTCTCTTCTCTCTCCCACTCTCTTCTCTCTCCTCCCTCTTCTCTCTCTTCTCTCCCCTCTCTCTTTCTCTCTCCACCCCTCTTTCTCTCTCCTCTCTTCTCATCTTTATCTCTCTCCTCTCTTCTCATCTCTATCTCTCTTTCTCTCTCCTCTCTTCTCATCTCTATCTCTCTTTCTCTCTCCTCTCTTCTCATCTCTATCTCTCTTTCTCTCTCCTCTCTTCTCATCCTTATCTCTCTCTCTTCTCTCTTCTCATCTATATCTCTCTTACTCTCTCCTTCTATTGACACAGCCGGCGAAGCCTAGTGCCACCTGTGTCATACCTTCATCTCCTCTTCTTCTAACTCAGCCGGCAAAGCCTTGTGTCGCCTGAGTCTCGTCCCACCTTCTCTTCTAACCCAGCGGGCAAAGCCTAACGCCGCATGTGTCCTTCTCTCTCCTCTTTTCTCAAACACAGTCGGCGATGCCTAGTGCCTCCTGTGTCTTTCTCTCTCGTCTCCTCAAATACAGCCAGTGATGCCTAGTGTTGCATGTGTTCTCTTCTCTCTTCTTTTCTTCTAACACAGCCGGCGATGCATAGCGCCGACTGTGTCTTTCTTTCTCTCCTCTTCTTCTATCCCAGTCGGCGATGTTCGACACCGACTGCTTCCTCTCTTCCCTCTTCTTCCAACACAACTGGCAATGCCTAACGCCAACTGTGTCCTCTCTCTCCCTTTTATCACATATGCGGAAGAACACTGTTGCATGTGCTCTCTCTCTCTCTTTTCTCTTTTCTCTCTTCAGGTCACAGCCGGCGGAAGTCATTGTCGACTGTGTTGTCTCCTTCCTTCTCCCATTGCCGTCCGTGTTTGTCTTTTTGCCCTTTCCTCCATCTCATCTCACACTCTTTTTCTTCCTTCCTTCTCTCACCCCCTATTCTTACTATTCTCTTCTTCTCCTCTTATTTTACTTCTTATTCCATCTCAATGACCTCTATATTTCCTTTTATTCTTTCATTTGATTAAGAGGGGTCGAGATTAGCCTTTCATGGTAACTACTATAGTTTAATCATAATGTTGTTGTGTAAGTCATAGTTACTGTTCTCGCTTTACTGCAATGATAGGTTAACCATCATGTCTAGCTAGTCGATATTGATACTGTCGTCTAGTAGTAATTCTGTTGAGCCGGTCTGAGTTACCAAACCCGTTTTACTACTACGCCAGGTCAATTATTTACTAGCCTAATCATTGTGCTGATCTCCCCACCCAGTCAAATTCTTATCTCCCCCAACTTTCTTCTCTTATTATTCTTTTCTTCTTTGTGAATATGTACGCCCGTATGTATTCATCAAGAAGGCAATGTGAGGTCTGTTGACCCACATGTCTTATAATATTTTTCATATGTGTGTGATTATAAAAAACAGGAGAATACAAGACAAGGGAGGTGATTCCAAACCAGTTTTATTACTAGGGGCTTTCTTCGTGATCTAAGAGGACGCCCACGCGAGCGAGCTCGAGTAAGTCCCGAACTCACCTTAACTTTCTCTCTCATCGGTTGATAATACCTGCCCTTGTTCTCAAACGAGGTTCCCGAGAGAGCGATCTCAAAGTCCTGGGTCTCCTTTAAAACCGGAGAAGCGTGTTGTCTGATCATCCTGATCTAAAGGGCGAGATCGAGACACCTAACCAGCTTGACGACTCCACTTGGGACTTACTACGCCTTCGTCGGATCGTTCTTGTTTGGCTAAGTTTTTCTTTTCTGTCTTTCTATTATCACACATCATTTATGACTTCCGGGTTTTGTAACTCATTTATCCGGATCGAGGACTTCCTTATCCCCGCATTCGTGAGTGTCTTTAGGGAACAAGTTCCTTCAACTTCGTTCCCAGCCCTCCTTTTGAGCAAAGACCCCGGGTCTAGCTCCCAGGTCCTAACTTGGATTGGTTGAGCAAGGACGTAAAAGTCCCTCACTCCCCACCTTCTTGTTCTGGTGGAACCTCCACCAAGGCACCTTGCATTGGCAACGTATCTATTGCCACACACAACATGCACCTAGCCACCGACAAGTCACTTGTCGGTCATATTGCCTTCGGAAGGCTACCCAATCCCTTTCTGCAAAAGGCAAGCAAGTTGCCTTTGCTTTTGTGGGTCACCGTAAGGCTACCCCCCACATTCTTGCACCACCACGAGTCTCTATCCCTATGGGCTCAATACATCAAAGCGGAGACCTTACGGCCACCACCCCTCGCACACACTATAAGGCTCGTGGGTCACCCACTCGAGCCACACCTCGGGGCAGCCCTTCGGCTACTTCGAGTGAGCCTCCAAGATCAGACCTCTTTAGGCCAGGTCTTGCACACACTGCTCATATGCATCTCACCACTAGGGGCAACGTCATCGTTGCGCCAACTCGAGCACACAGGAGACGACCCCCTCGTCCTCCTACTCAGCACACACAAGCGCACCCTGTAAAGGGCAAGCCTTCACCTGCTCTCTTACCAACACCTGCTCGCGATTCTCGGCCTCCTAAGGCCAGACTACTTGCTCGAGCCCGGGCTGACCACCAAGTCACCCGTGACCCTTCTTCATGGAGCGCACACGCGTCGCCGTCTTAAACACCCCCTCGCCCTGGACTCAAGCATCAACATGTGTCAACCCTGCTCCAGTCTACTTCGCCTTCTTCTAGCAAGCACCTTCAGCCTTGGTATTCGAAGACCTTCCCTAAGAGTACCATGCTGAACCAGCCCTGTCATTTTGGTCATGTCTCTGGAGCTCACAAGAGAGCTCGAGGCAAAGATCTAATGGAAGATCGAGTCCTTCATCCTCCCCGGCCCAAGATGACTCCAGTCCCTAACCCTCATCCTTTATCGCAGCTGATGGAGACAACCCTCTCTTCTACAAGAAGACCTGACCAGTCGTAGTCTCGATCATAGTTTTGGCTCTAAGTCTATCAAAGCCTCAAAGCTAAGCGCGATAGAGGTCTGCGAATTTTGACCAAAGAAGTGACTAAGGCGATCGAGGCAACCCACTCTAACAACCCTCTTCGCCTGAATCCCTTTTACCCTCTTCTGATGACAAAGCCTAAAGACGAGCTCCATAAGCGCTGCACTATGGTTAGTGTTATATAAGATGACCTAGCCACTCAGCGGCCACTGTCCCAAGACCATCGAGAACCAGTTCTCACGAGATCGACATACAAGAGTTGAGTCCAGTCAGGGCATGCTGCCCCCTACTGACTGACCTACCACGCATGACCTGTCAAGTTCGCAGGCCCTCAACTGCAACTAAAGCCGACCTCCTTAGAGAAACATTCAGCGTAATGGTTGTAAGCGAGCCTGGTGACTCGTAGGAAGAGCGTATGAACAAATTCAAAGACATGGTGCACGTGATGTCGGAAAAGATTGATCGTATAGACGCCGCACGGCCATCAGCTAACCACGAAGTTAGTTCCCATCACTCATGTGGTGCACCTCCAAGGCAGCCCCTTCCTTTTGCCTCACAGGATAATTTTGTCCCTCACCCCATCTCTTGGCAGACATTGATGCTATGGTAACCCATAGCTTAAAGAACAAGCAAATTCTGGGGATACAGGGTACCATGCCTTATCAAAGGTTGTACCTTGCATTCATTGACCAGGTCCCATCTTCTTCCGATTACAAGAAAGGGAAGTTTCCCCTATTAAGTGGAACCACGTCCCCGAACCATCACATCGCCCACTTCCAGTAGCATGTCGAGAAACAACGGCTGATGGGAAACTCCTTCTCTGTCAGTTCGTTGAGACCCTTGACGGCTCATCCTTTCAATGGTATGCTCAACTTCCTCCAAACTCTGTGCATACTTGGGAAGAGATGGAGAAACTGCTCTACCAACGTTTCTATGAGGTCGAGAGAGAAGTTCAAACCATCAAACTTCTCACCCTGATTCAAGAACTCGATGAGCCCGTGGACCAGTTCATATCAAGATGGAGAAATTTGGCTGCTCGCCATCCCAATCCCATGCCTAAGAAGGAGGCGATTCAAACTTATGTGCCAAACATGCGACCAGAAATTGCTCTACATGTCGAGGCCTTCAATCCAACCTCCATGTTAAAACTGATTTCTAAGTCAGTCCGTATAGAAAGCCTAACACGCCACCACGATGGGTCATGACACTTGTTTACAAGTTTAGGAAACAGTCGGGCAATGGTAGCTCTTAGAACAACACACAAGGCAGCCAATAGAAAGGAGTAATCAGTGCAACCGTCACGGTCACTGACCCAAAGAAGGCTCCCTCTCAAACTTTGGACCTCTCCAAAAGCGTGAACATGGTAAAAACAACTCCGCAAGTAGAAAAGCAACAACAGGCGTACAATCGAGTACCCCCGCCAGCCAATCTTAATCGGGATGATTATTTCACCAGGCATAGGAAGAAGGTTTATCCCTTCGAGAAGGAATGGGTCCCTGCATTGTTCCAGTTATTATTGAAACAGAATATGATCGAGCTTCCAGAAGCTAAGATCCCTGAGCAAGTTGGGCTCGATATTCAGGCAACTTATTGTGCTTACCATCAAAGGATTAATCACCCAACAGATGATTCCTACACACTAAAAGACTTTATCGAGGCCCTAATTCATAAGGGTCAAATAAAGCTTGAGGACCTAAAGAAGGCATTCGGCACAACAAAAGATTCCCATGCGGGAACAATCCAAGAGGAAGATGAAGCCCCCTGTATCCTTCACGCTTTTTTTGTTATAATGTTGCTAGAAGGCATAATTACCCTAAAA